GACCACTTCGAATTATTTTATTCGATTAAGCTAACGTGCCTATCACGTTGAGGTTGGCTACGCCGGGATTCGTTTTCAGCAAGTAGATATCCACACAAGTGGACCTTGTTGGAGCATACGTAATCCTAAAATGTAGCATCGTGCTACAGATGGCGTTTCTGCGCCATTTGTAGTATTTTCGACAATATAAATTAGGACCGTTCTTACCATGTGTATGAAGAACTAGTATGTGATATACTGATATGTTATAATGCAGCTAGTCAAATTCCAAACATTTTAACTGTATAGTTTAATTGCTACTATTAAAAAAATATTGAGAAATCAGATATAGTACGACATGGGAGTGATTAAATAAAAACGTTGCAACGCCATGGAGCGATAAAGAAGGATCAAATGCGTACGCGCGAACCGTTTAAATATCGTAATACTGTACTCAAAATTTTACAACGTTATTAGATCGTATGAGATTGCTGAGGATTGGCTAACGTTGGTATATATTAAATCAAAAATTTTTCATGAAACACTCGACAGAACGCCTACAACGACGATTATTTTCTACATCTATGTACTTTACCAAATCAACTTCCTTAAGCGCGGACAAATGTAATGGAATGTTTCTAAAGAAATTATTCAAAGCGGATTTCTATCTTTGAAGTATTGAGATGTTATTATTACCTTAATGAGGAGGGAATCCTTCCACATCGAAAGTCTATGGAACGGTAATATGAAAAACAAAGGTTCAATAACTAGACATTCATAAAATGTCCGCGATCCACATCTGGTAAACGGTGTTTTTAACATAATTCTATAATACCACTTTTCAAGCGCATCAAACATATTAAGAAAATCGAACAAAAATAAATGGAAAGTTTCATAAATGCATAATCAAAACACCACAAAGGATAAATCCGTATAAAGCCCATTTTCCCCCCACAACATGCATGCAAAGGAAATTTGATTTTACAAAGACCAAATTGTTTATTTATTTTATTCATAATGTGTGATACAGGTAATTTTCATTTCGTTGTTTTTGTTTAATGCCTATCATAACTACGTCCTTAAATTGGCTTCTGTACAAAGTTTGAAACGTTTTTACATTATTTTATCAAACGGACCTTTGTTTCAAAAAGTTGTGCACAATGTACATACCTCAAATTCATTTGCAATTGGAACACGAAACGTTCCATCTTGTAACGAGAGCCCGATTCTTAAGAAAATTGAGAAAAAGATAAAAAATACGTGCACAATTTAATTTTACGACGTAGTTATGATATTAAATAGACAAATTTAACCATGAAATGAAAACTTTGCCATCGTCCATAAAGCAAGCAAATGATTAGATTTTTGGGAGAGAGAACTTCTTTACATGCATAGGTAATACCTTTTTGAAAAAACTTAAGTCAAACCTGTTGGCAATCCATTTTTCACTAAGAAACCTTTACTCACCATAACCCAACCTACTCTACTTAACCTAACATAGCCTAAGTTAGGTAAGACCTCAAATACAGTATTCGTTACTAAAATGGGTCAAGATCACCTTTTTCTAAGCGAATTTGGTGTAGAACTATATGTAAAGTCTTAACCTAAGCATTTTAAAAAGGAATCACTTGACCCTCAACTCAATAGTATTCGAATCGGAAGATTAGTCTTATTGAGAATACCTTACCCATACAAACTATGAAATTAAAGGAAAATGTAGAATACATACAAATAAGAAGATATCAGAATACAGTGAGATGCTT